CCGAGCCCGCGCCGCCGCTGCCGCGTCCCCGCAAGCGTCGGCGTAGTCCCGGAGCAGCGCGCGCGCCCAGGTGCCTAAGGGAAAGGAGGCGCGGTGAGAGGGGTCCGGCCGCTGCGGCCGCTCACCCCGCCGCCTCTCGCCTTTGCGGTCACCCACCCGGTCGCTACTCACCCAACCTCGCCCACACTCCGGGCTTCGCGGCTGCCGCTTCCCCTGCCTCTCCGCGACTTCGAGACCAAAGCCTCCTCAGAGCTGCGGCCGCCATTCCCTTCCGTCTTGATGTCCCTTTTCCGAAGAGAAACGACAGGTACGCGAAGTAAAAGGTTCTGGAGTGTCTTCCGCGCAAGCGTCAATACTGCCGGTAGTGGGTTCCCATCGGAAGAGGATAGAAAACGGACCGGTGCCGGATGTTGCTATCTAGGACGAATGGGGTTGACTGTCAGGCAGGCAGGCCGCGCATGCGCAGAATCCCCCGGCCACGCCGACTAAGTCGGCCCCAGGTGAAGAGGGTGGGTTGCACCTGTGTTTAGGGTCGGCGAGTTCAAGGCAAGGTGGGTACCGGTAACCGCCAGGCCGTGCTGGGGGCGGAGGGATAGACTTCCGCAGAGCGCCGAGTGGGATTGGGTGCGGGCCTGATTGGCCTCTGTCTTCAGAACGGGGATGCGGTGACGCCCCTGAGCGACCATGGCAGCGTCTGACGAGCTGGCCTTCCATGGTGAGTGCAGCTGTGATCTGGCCCGACCTCCTCCCTCCGCTGGCCGGAACCTCACATTCAAGTCCTAACTCATACCTAACCCGAGCCTCAGTCAGCTGTGAACCCTGACCCCAGGCGTGAAACCCAGCTCCAACTCGAACTCCGTTCCAACCCTGAACTCCGACCTCAAACCGGAGTCGCTACACCTCTACCCCAGACCTGACCCCATTCCAGAACCAGCCCTCAGTTACCATCCCTTGTCAGAAATGACGGAACACACCTCCTTCCCACTCTCCAAAATTGAGGAAGCCGGGCCCTGAGTTGGGGAGAGCACTGAGGTGGCCACGGTTAGAGTTTCTCCCCAGATGAGCAGTGGGCCAAACCAAATTGTCTTGACCCCCAAACATACCTGTGTCTCATTTATTCCCGATAGAGTTCGAGGAAGCCACTAATTTGCTGGCTGAGACCCCAGATGTGACCACCATCAGCAGAAGTGATCAGCTGACCCCAAAGGGGCATGTGGCTGTGGCTGTGGGCTCAGGTGGTAGCTATGAAGCTGAGGAGGAGGTGGAGAGTGACAAGTCCTCGGTGAGTCACATAAGTCCCTGTGCCCTACCTCCATCCAGCTCCTGGTTGATCCAGGCTGGAAGGGCAGGCACTGAAAGACAACACTTTGCAGCTTCTACAGGAGGAGAAGCAGCAGCCAGGATTCTGGACCTTTAGCTACTACCAAAGCTTCTTTGATGTGGACACCTCACAGGTCAGATCTGGGAAGCTGGTGGGATGGGGCTCAGTCATGCTTGGGATTCAGCTACTGCGCACTGAGCACTTCCTGTGCACTTGTTGCTATCTCCAGGTTTCTGGATATACACACATGGGAAGAGCTTCCATCCACCAGGCTAGTAGAAGTATCTGTGGTGCACTGTAAAGATTATGATGTGATGAGTGGGGCTTTGGGGAACACAGGAAACACATGATATGATGGGTTAGAGAAAGGCCTCCTAGAGGTGGTAAGGAATTTGCTGAGCCTTAAAAAGGAAAACTTAGCTAGGCAGAGTGAAAGCAGCGTATGTTCGAGGAACACACAACATCATATACAGAAGACCACAAATGAGAAAAGGCAGGAACTATCACAGAAGCTACCTGTCATTCAGGCTGGTTGGAGCATGAGAGGTGGGGGATAGGCAGAAGCCAGATCACAAAGGGACTTATGAGTTATTTTGAGGAGTTTGGGTTTTATCCTGAGGGTGCTGGGGAATCATGAAAGGTATAGAGCAGGGGAGGATTGAGCAGATATGCAACATGGAAGGTGGATCGGAGGCCCCATGCCAGGGTGGGAGATGGTAATAAACCTGGGCTACAGAGTAAGGGGACCTATTGGAGAGATTCAGGAAGGCGTGTGCCCAGGACTTGTTTGTCCTTACTGGGGTTGGGGGAGGCAGCAAGGGCGGCAGTCCAGGTCAGCTTTGTAAAGAGGAAGATGCAGGTCCTGAAGTTTTTCAGAATGGTGGGACACTGGTATATTGAGTGGGGGCTGGTCAAGGGAAGGGGCTCCAGGTCATGGGAACAGCCCATTAAAATCCCAGAGGGAAGTGCTGTGGAGAGAGGAGGTGGGAGGGCAGCAGAGAAGACATCTCTAAGGTCAGGGAAGGAGCTTGGCCCCTTTCCTCTGTAGGTGAGGAGCCCCAGCAGGCTTCCATCCTGTGCCCGGCTTTGCCCCCAGGTTCTGGACCGGATTAAAGGTTCACTGTTGCCCCGGCCTGGCCACAGCTTTGTACGGCACCATCTGCGGAATCGCCCGGACCTGTATGGTGAGTGAAGTTGTGCTTTTAGCTCATTTGATTACTCATTCAGCAAATGTGGACTGTGTGCCTGACCCTAGAATACAGCTGAGAAGAAAGCAGAGGCCCTCACAGAGTGTGTAAAACTTACACTGCTCAAGGAGACCGAGACATCAAAGGTTGCAGAGGGTGAAGAGCAGTCAGTTCAGAGGATGAGAGTTGCTATCTTGCATGGGTTGGTCAGGGAAGAACCCTCTGAGGCGAGTGAGGGAATAAGCCTTGTTGGTGTCAGGGTCGGGGGTGGGGAGAACTAGGGAAAGAACATTCCAGAAGGGGCATAAGCCCTGTGGCGGAAACACATCAGAACTGCAGGGCAGCGTTGTCACTGGAGCAGAATAAACTGCCAGGCCACCACATAGATGACAGATCAACAGAGTTTCAGTAAGAAGGGAGCTTAGTTAAATGTTCTTAGGTGCTCTCTGGCCACTGTGGGGCAAGAGTGAGGAACCTGGGAGACTAGGGAAGAGGCAACTACTGTGGTCCAGGTTGGGGCTGGGGTGGGTGAGAGTGGGGGGCCTGGCCCCAGGAAGAGAGGAGTGGTTGGATTCTGGCCTACGTCTCGAAGGGTAGAGCTGATGGGATTTGTTGACCCACTAGAATCTAGTGACTAAGTATAGGGTGGGAAGAGAGGGACCAAGGATGCTGCCAAGGTTTTTGCCTGGACTATGGGAAGCATGAAGTTGCTATTTATCAGTAGGAAAAGCTGGGCAGGTTTGAAGGGAAAGAGTGTGGTGAGGTGGAAAGGGAGGTGTGCACATGAAAACATTGACTAGAAGCCTGAGGTTAAGGGCAGAGGCTGGGACTTGAGACATTTGGGAGTTGTTGGCCTAGAGGTAGAAAATCCCTGAGGTTGGACAAAATCATGCAAGGGGTGAACATAGACAGAGGGGGACCAAGGACTGGGCCTGGCCGGCTTCCCATCATTAGAGGTTAGGGAGTCAAATAAGTTAAGGAATTCCAGTGACATAAGCCTTCAGGGCCAAGAGTGTGGAGTGTTTCCAGAGGGAGGGGGATCAGCTACATCAAAGGCTGTTGAAAGGTCAAGATAAGGACTGAGCCAGCACTGGATTCAACCACCAGGTTGTCATATGGGTGGGTGTAAGTGGGGTCACTGGAGTGGTGGGTATGGAGGCAGCTCAGAGCTTGGAAAGACTGGGACAAAACAGGACAAGTCACCTGTCCTGGAAGCTGTGTGCCTGGGACCCTGACTATACTCCACCTGCAGGCCCCTTCTGGATCTGTGCCACACTGGCCTTTGTCCTGGCCATTACCGGAAACCTGACAATGGTGCTGGCCCAGAGGAGGGACCCCTCCATCCACTACAGCCCCCAGTTCCACAAGGGTAAGCAAAGTAGGAAAGGCCTAGCACCTGGTAGGTCTAGGGGGTACCATGGGGCCCCAGGGCGTGACTGCTTACCTTGCTCCCCAGTGACCGTAGCTGGCATCACCATCTACTGCTACGCCTGGTTGGTGCCACTGGCACTGTGGGCCTTCCTGCAGTGGCGCAAGGGTGTCCGGGAGCGCATGGGGCCTTACACCTTCTTGGAGACTGTGTGCGTCTATGGCTACTCCCTCTTCATCTTCATACCCACTGTGGTGAGTACGACCTCGAGGTGGGGGTGGTGTGTGCCGTGGAGAAACCTGGCAGCCATCTGCCCATGTTGTACCCAGGTCCTGTGGCTGATCCCTGTCCCATGGCTGCAGTGGCTCTTCGGGGCATTGGCTCTGACCCTGTCAGCTGCTGGCTTGGTGTTCACCCTCTGGCCTATTGTCCGCGAGGACACCAGATTGGTGGCCTCTGTGCTGCTATCTGCTGTTGTCCTACTCCATGCCCTCCTGGCCATGGGCTGTAAGGTATGAGTCTGGGGTAGTCACAGCTGGACTTCAGGGTTGGGGGTCAGCTTGCTTGTCCTGATGCTAACCTCAGGGGTCTGGGTTCAGTTTTACTTTTTCCAGCCACTGCCTCTGGAGCACGTGGCACCTCCTCCTCAGGCCACATCTCTATCCCCAAACATACTGACGCCCACCCTGCCAATGTCTGTGGCAACCTAAGGCCCAAACCTGCAGGTAAGGAATTGTTTCCAAATTCCAGCCTCTTTACCGCAAAGTGAGAAGTCACAGTCACTGGTCAAAGTTTCTCTTTCAGGTCCAACATGAGGGGACACCTCTGCCTGCCCTGCCCCCCCAATGAATGAAGGTTCCTTTGACATTTCAAGATCACTCTGCTACTTTCCAGACTTTTCTTACAAAGCAAACACTTTTATTTTCTATGCAAAGGTGATTCAGAGAATTTATATAAAGGTGGGAGAAGGGTGGCTGAGCAGGGAGCTTCCGGTGCAGCTGTTGCCCCATGGGCCACCTGCTGGGCCTTTCTTCTCCCCCCTGCAAGGGTCTGGCAGGAGAGCAAAGGGTCTATCCAGCCTCAGCTTTGCCCACCCTTCCCAGAGTGGCCAGTTAGCAGGGACTTAGGCCTAGCCTTGGCTCCACCACATCCAAGTTTGGGGGTGTTAGAAATGGGGGGGAGCAAAAGTAGAAGAAAATTGCCTGTGCTGAAACACATTTCCTTGTTTATTATTATTATTTTTTTTAGAGGGAAAGATCCCTGCACAAGGCCCCTTCCCAGGCTGAGAAAGGACCAAAATGCCACCATCATAGTAGGGACCAGAGCATCTACAAATACTGAGGGAAATACACAGGCCTAATGTTAGCTACAAGGAAAAAGGATGCCTTCCATGACAGATCCTTGAGGTTTCTCTGTGTCTGCCCCCAATGGCTGACAGTGACCATCCTCCCCTCCAGGCCCACAGGCCTCCTATTCTAGCTCTTGGCAGGGGTGGAAGGGGAACCCATAGGGGCTCAGGGACAGGACAGCAGCAAGAGGCAGGGGCCACACAGAGGGCCTTCCCAACAGCTGGGGTGGGTTGTACATTCAAGTGTGAGGTGAACCCTTTTGTGGGAGGGGGCTGTGGAGCGACATAGGCCTGGCCCCACCCTGTCCTGAAGACCTGGTAGGGCCACCCCTCACCACTGAGCCTCTGAGTTGGGGATAGGGGCTGCTGGCTCGGCCCGGCCGGCCTGGTTTTTCAGAGGGTCTGTGGATTGACACTGGTTCTTTTTGTAAAAAAATAAAATTAAAAAAAGCAGCATGTCACGCCCATTGTGACCAAGGCCTGGTAGTTGAAGGGGAGGCCCCATCTAGCTAGGACTGCCTTCCCACTGGAGACAGGCAAGGGAGGGCAGGTGCCAGGGGAAGTGGGCGGGGCTACAGTTGCTCCCTGCCACCTGCCCACAGGGCCTGCAGCTGTCAAGCCTGGACAGGCCTGTTCAGTAGATGTTAAAGCCCAGGTCACGGTGGAGAGGGCAGGAGGGGGGAACAGGACTCCCACGACATGATCTTACGTAAAATATGGCAGCGACACACGCTCAGGGCCACGATGTGTGTGGGTGGTAGGGTGGGAGCGGCAGCAACAATGTTGTGTAAAAAAGTGTTCAAGTTCCCGTAGCAAAGAGGACTGTGACCGGTGTATGGGCTTCTCCAGTACAGGGGTGAAAGCTGCCCGGGCAGAGGGGTGGGTGGGCAGGGTCTTCATTTGGTTTCCTGGTGCTGTCAGTCCATTCCCCACTGGAGGGGCCTAGCTCCCGTAGTGCATGGTGTTGGTTGGGATGGACATGGGTGAGGCCATTGAGATGGCAGGGCCACCCATGGTGAACTGGCTGTTGACTGCATAGTGGGCGCTGGAGCCGCCACCACTGCTGCCTTGGGTGCCGGAGGACCCTGTGGAGCAGGACATGGGCACTGAGGGCCAGCTCTACCCCCTTGCCCACCTGGCCCACAGCAGAGTCACAGGGAGAAAGAGAGCAGGCAAGAGGGCCAGTGGGCGGCCCAGCAGTCAGCATGCTCACACCCATGGGACCCGCTCCCTCCATTACCTTGGACAATCCCCGTGCTCATTATGGAGCCCATCCGGGAGTGGGTGTGATTGACAATCCCCGTGTTGGCTGCACAGCAGAGGGAGGAAGGAAGGGAGACGGCGTCACCGCCCCCGGCCAGCCCAGGCCCATGTTCTGCCCCAGATGGGCGCTCCCACTCGCACTTTCACACCGGGGTGCAGAGAGGGTGGGTGCAGCGGCGGCAGAGCGAGGCAAAGAGGAATGGAGGACCTCAGCCAGGAGCCCCAGGAAGAGGAAAAGATGATGCAGAAGGCCCAAGCACATGGGCCATCCTGGGTGGCAAATCCTCCCCACACCTCCCCAGACCCAGGGACACTCACCTAAAGGAATAAGGTTGTTGTGGCCCACACTGGAGCCGCCAGCGATAACACTGCTCAGGTCATAGGCAGTTGGCATCCCTGTGTCAAGAGAGGGAGATGTCAGGGGTGGGGATAGTGTCCTGTTTGGGCTTTGAGAGGCCAGAATTGCCACCTTTGCCCAGGGAGTGCTGGTAGGTGTGACTAGGAAGTGGCCCTGCTCCCCCCACCCCACACGGGGACCTGCTCACCAGCCACGGCCATCCCACTGCTGAGGTTGTAGGTGCTGCCTGTGTTCCACATGTTCTCTGAGGGGGATGTGTAATGGGAGCCAGGCGGGGGTGAGGGTGTCGTGCCTGTGTATCTGCAGCAGAGACGGACCCATGGGCAGGGCCAAGGGGCTGCAGGCCAGAAGGGTGCCCCCCCCCCGCGCAGGCCAAGGGCCCATCCTACCTGAAGAAGGGGTTTTTCAAATCCAGGAGGTTACTGGATTTGGAGCCCGTCTGGTCTACCTGGGCCACAATACTGATGTCATAGCTCTGTCTGTAGAGAGGGCAGAGAAAGGGGGGACATGAGCCAGCTAGGAGGAAGAACCCCTTCCTCCCCCAGCCTGGGGTGGCAGCTTGCACCTTTTGTTGGCAATAAGCAGACATGTCCCTGAGAGCGTGTCCCCAGCCTTGGCAAACAGTGGTGACTGGAACAGGCACCGGACCTGGTACCAGTGGGTCAGGGGCTCCGTTGGGGCCGTGGACAGCCACACAGTCATTCTGCCGAGAAGGGACAAGAACGAACTTGACTGGGGTGGAGCCACCATTCTGTGCACCTTGAGCTATCCCCAGATGTCTGCCCCTCTGACAGGTCCTCTGGGGCCCTGGAGGTAAGAAAGGCTGGCCACCCAGGTAGTCCCATTCACATGCCTACACATACAAGGGGACCACAGTCATGGGGTGCCTGTTCACCCTGACATATGTGCCAAGAGACTGACCAGGACCCTGAAGGACAGTTACTCAAAAGGGTAGACACACACCCCTCCCACAACAGTCTGGCTCTCGTCTTTTGGGAGGGAATCGGGAGGGGTGGTCCTACCCTCCCAGCCCCCACTCAGCATCCAAACCAGCCAGGCCTAGGGTTCACAACCGCAGGGAAGTCCCAGGGGCTGGGGGTAGCATGCTCTGCTCCGCTGCACTCACATGGAGCCAATGAATGCGACGTCAAACCAGAAAGCCAGGCCGTGAACCAGCCCCGAATGCAGCATGTGAAATTTGAATGGGATTTCTATCCTGGAAGGCAAAGGGCAGTTATTGCTGGGGAAGGTAAACGGGCTGCTAGGAGAGAAGAGGGGTGGCCAGGTGCAGAGTCCTAGACCTTGGCCCACTTGCCTGCCCTGGGGCAGTAGAATGCCTGCAAGGGCCAGCAGTGGCCCGGGAGGAGGGGCGTGAGGGCCGGTACCTGTGCAAATCCCCTTCTTTGGCTTCTAAGAAGTTCACTGTATACTTGACAGACTTGGCCATCAGGATCCGGATGTCAAATGTGTCCTGGGAGAGACCACAGAGATGACCTGACTTTGAGCTCAGGGACAGCAAGGGAGGGGAGAGCCCTGCACCTCTCCCTGTGTCTGGCCATAGCCTCCAGGCTATTCAGGTCAAACCAGTTTGCCCTTCTCAGACATGCTGGGGGAGGCTGAACTAGTACGACACCAGGGAGGGCAATTAGATGACAGCTCTCAAAATAATAAGCGTTCATAAGCATTAAAGACTTCCAGGAGTTGAACCTACAGATAGATGTGCACATGTACAAATTCACACATCTAATTACATATTGTCTATAGTAGCGACACACTGGAAACCACCTAATTAAACTGATGGCCCATCCATAAAAGGCTATAGGTGAAAAGGAACGAAGAGGTTCTTTATGATATGGGAAAAGATCTCTGAGATAAGCAAGTTAGAGAACTGTGTGATGTCCCATCACAGCTACAATGCAGATTTTCTATCAGACTAACACTCTTGCTGAGAACTGTATGAGCTGAATAAAATACAAAGAAAAAAGCCCAGTTGTTTGAAAGCACCGGAGAGCAACAGCAGTAGCCAAGGCTTTGGAGGCTGAGATCCTAAAGGGAAGGGAGATGCTTTTTGGCCTGTGCCTTTCTCCCTTGGTATGGGACCTTTCAGCAGCCTCTCCGGGTGGGGGATGCAAAGATGGGGGCTCAGGGTTACCAAGGCAGTTGGGACGCAAGAGGCCAAGATGCTAAAGAAAAGGGAAATGTGGAAATGCAAGGTGGATGTTCTGCATTCGATTTCACTTTGCGGCATTTGCCAATTCCTGAGTTGTGTGTGGGGTGGGAGTTAGAGGACAAGAGACCAAGCAAAAGGCCACTTCTAAGACACTAAAAAGCTAAAGAAAGGTTCAGCACCATATTGTGCTGGGAGGCTGGAACCAGGGGCCCTGTGAACCACCTGGCTCATTTAAACCACTGAAGGCTACACCCTAAGGCAGAAGTTCTCAGTGTGGTCCCTTCCAAAGCACCCAAGGTCAAAACTATTTTCATAAGACTCGGATGTTTCCTGTGATTATTCATTCACTCACCTGTGATATCACAACAGAGGAATGCAGAAGCAGAATCCAAATTAATAATGCCAGTATTCTTGCTGAAAAGTCTTGGACAATAGTTTTTGTTCTTAAAAATGCTATTTATGTTAATAGGTAATGGTTTTACTACTGTTGTTTTTAAATGAATTAAATATATTTAAATTCTTGGGCTTAGTTTGTAATATCAATAGACATTAGGAGCAAGATGATTTGTCCATATGACTAATTGTTGAGGGGAAAAAAAAATCCTTGGAAAGAAAAACATCGTCCAGAACCTCTACAATTTTTTATTCTGGCATTTAATGACCAGGCACCAAGAGACAGGACCAAAGGATGAGAGCCAAACACCAAGAGAATAAACAACAGAAAAACACCACTTATCCAGATACTAAAAGTGATCAAAGACTTATAATTAATATGTTCAAGAAGAAAGGTGAAAA